AAATAAGTCAGATAGAGAAAGACAAATTCCACATCATCTCACTTATATGTGGAATCAGAAGAACAAAATAAACAAACCAACAAAACAGAAACAGACTCATAGATACAGAGAACTAACTGAATGGGAGGGGGTAAGGGGATAGGTGAAACAGGTGAAGGGATTAAGAAATACAAAGTGGTAGTTACAAAGTAGTATGAGGGTGTAAAATACAGCATGGGGAATATAGGCAATAATATTGTAATAACAATGTATAGTGTCAGATGGGTACTAGACTAATTGGGGGGTCACTTCATAAATTACAGAAATGTCTAATCACTGTGCTGTACACCTGAAACTAATATAAAATAATATTGAATGCCAGCTATAATAAAAAAATTTAAAAAGGAGGGGAGGTGAAGGGAAATAAGAGGTTCAAATTTCTAGTTATAAAATAAATAAGTCATGGGGATGTAATGGATAGCACAGGGAATATAGTCAATAATTTTGTAATAACAGTGTACTGTGTCAGATGGTTACTAGGCTTTTATCATGGTGATCACTTCTTTAGATATATAAATGTTGAATAACTATGGCTCACACCTGAAACTAATATACTATTGTATGTCAACTATATTTTACTAAAAAAAATGCTAAAAGAAAAAAAAACAATGATATTGTGATAGCTTTGAGGCAGTGTTTATGACACCGATTGCATATAAAATACAACAAAAGAATAAGTTTTGGTGATTTACCTAAAGATAGACCCATGAGTTATAACAAAACACATAAAATCTGGAATATTTTTCAAAATTGGATATGAGATATAGTAAAACCTTGGATTGTGAGTAACTTGGTTTGTGAGTGTTCCACAAGACGAGCAAACATTTCTAGTACATTTTAACGTGGTAAATAAGCGATGTCTTGCAATATGAGTAGTTTGTTTCTGGAACAAATTATGCTCACAAACCAAGGTATTACTGTATTTAGATTTAAAAATTCACAACTTGGTCTTTTGAACTTACCACAATAATTGGCTATGTTTAGGCTGTAAAAACAGTTTTTAGCTTCAAATCCTTGTATCATTCTAGTTGATACTATAACAATTAGAAGTTGATTATATAATGCCTATTGGGTTCTATAGTTTCTCTTCCCAAAAGACAACAAAAACTTCAAGTTGAAGGAATGTTCTTTATACCTTTATTGCAACCTTAATCCAATATTTGATAATTGCTCAATAATAGTTTACAGTAGGTGGAATCAGACAGACGCCTGGGTTTAAATTCTGGGTCTATGTGAGCTGTAACTTTGGGAAAGCCAACTTCTCTAAATATCTTTATTTATATGCCTGTATTAGGCATTTATTGCTGCATAACTAATTACCATAAACTTAACAACTCATGTAACAATAAAAGTAGCAAAAACAATAATAAAAACTCATCTAAATATGAGTGTACAAGTAGATTGTGTTGATTTTAAGGTGTTTATAGAGTCACCAGTTGGATAAACAATGACATATAAAGACATGGAAAACTAAGATTTATGAAGTTTTAGCTTTGCATAAGGGCAGACCCTTGCATCATAAGAAAACATATGTAATCAGAAATATGTTTCAAACTTGTATGTACGATATGTATTTTTTCAACTTGATTATTCAAATTCTTACTGCAATTATTTAAACAGGTTTCCAATTTCCTTTATAGTCACAACAGGTGAAACATGGACTTTACAATCTAAAATCTGAAAAATGACAGAAAAGGAAAATCAGTGAATGAAGAAAAAGAAAAAAAAGAAAAAAAGTGAATTCCCAAGAGCAAATACTGTGCTGCTGTGTAATCAACTGACTCCCTTTCCTCTCAAATCAGCATTGTCTTACTCTGTACTTTGATCAAAAAGACAATAAAGCATCCAATATGTTGAAGTGCAGAGGAAGAAAATTAAGCAATTTCTATATTGTCCTCAGAAACATAAACAACTCCATAGGAAACGCATTTTTTTAGTTTACTGCTGTACGAAACGTGGGACTTGGTTGCTGGTCACAGGCTGCCTGGTCTTCTTGCTCACTGCTCTCGCTGACCTTACTCCTTAGTTCCACGATAAGTAATATTATTGAGAACAATGATGGCATGAGTTTAGAAAGCACCTTGTACATATCTGAGATAAGGTATATTAATGCCATCAAATATTATTTGAAAAAGAGTCACAAACTTAAAGAGCAACATAGGGTAGGTGGGGCTTTAAGGTTCTTC